AATGCCTAAACATGGCCCAAAAGGCACTATATGTAGCAGAGGTAACGGCTGGTGATTAACAGGATAGCACATACTTTTGGTCCTGGCCTCCACCGCTGTTGCAGGCTTCTACTTAGGTTCCCTTACGGTCTCACAGCAGGGCTTCCCAGTTGCTGCTAGTGGTAAAGAACCCACCTGCCAATGCAGGAGATGTTAGAGACAGGGGTCCGACCCCTGGGTGGGGAAGATCCCCTGGAGGAAGGCATGGCAATCCACTCCAGTATCCTTGCCTGGAGAATCCTATGGACAGAGGAGCCTGGCAGACTACAGTCCATAGGATTACAAAGAGTCAGACAACTGAAGCCACTTAGCGCACACACAGAGTCCCACAGTCAGTTCTGGGGGTCCTTGGGTACTATGTCAGGGGGATTCATGAACAAACTTTGGTGACTGTTATTTCAGTGGCTGCCGTCTATTTCTCTAAAGCTCTGCCTTTGGTAACTTCTCTGCCAGAAGCTTCTGTTGCTGACTGAAGCTCTTTGGGGGAACCTCACCAGTGCAGGCCCTGCAATGAGTCTCCATAATGTATCTCATCGTGGGCTTGACCGCAGCCAGGGCTGGCCTGCTCTTCTTCTCTGCACCAGCAACATGGTATCCCACCTGACGGCTCCTTTCATTTATCCTTTATTATTATTATTTATCCTTCTCTTTTTATTATGAGATTTCTTGTGCTCACAGTAAGGAGTCTGAAAAATAGAAAATCCATCAGTCATCTATTTCACTAATCCCTGCAGCATTTTAGAAACAAGTGGAGAATTCTACAATGTGCAGTTTCATTGAAAAACGTCTGAGGAAGGAGGTTTACTATAAACCATGCAAAGTGTGGCCGTCCTCTCCATGATGAAAACACCGACAGGGCCATCACGGGCCCCCACTGTGGTTTAACCTACTGTTAAACCACTGGTTAACCTACTGTTAACCTAGTGTCTCTCCTGCACTGTCGATGGCCAGCTTCGGCACATTTGGAAACCATGCCTTCAGGGCAGTCCCACAACTTCACTGAGCTGAATATAGGACTTGTCTTCTTCAACACCCCAGTGGAGAAGTAACGAACTATCATGGTGGTTGGGGGTGATGGTAGTGGGGAGACGGAGTCTGCCCTCTGCAGGTCGGTCACCACCAAAAGGCTTCGTTCTCCTCTACGACAAAGACTGGATTTTTCACCGTTTGCATTTCATTTCCTTTGAGCTGCTGCCCTCTCTCCTACGCTGGCAAGTGTATGTGTTTGGCAGGGAGGTTGGCAAGCATTTCACAAGACAGTAAAGGTTAAGGTACGGTGGAGGTTGTTTAGTGCAGAATTGTAAATATTTGGTAAGGGTTTGTGGAGCTGCTTCTTTTGATACCTCTAATCCACCGAGACAGAAATAACTTCAAAGCCATGCCTGGTCTGACTTGGTCCTCAACCAAAGGAAAAGATCAGCTACTGCTTAAGTATGTTTTCACTCACAGCCAGGCAGCCTGCCGTAGCAGGCGTCCTGGAGGATGAATCATCAGTTAATTGTCTCTGGGCACTTGTACCTCAACAGGGCAGGAGTGGAGCTGCATGAATAAATGTGAAGGAGCCTTCAGTTTACACCGTTCCATGCCGTCAACAGCTGAACAAGAAGTGAGGTTTGCAGAAGGGCGGGCTGAGCCAGCTCCCCTGCACAGAGCGCGGCAGGCTTCACTCGGTGTGGCTGAAGTGACTGGAGAGCAGGTCATTCTACCTTTTGGGCTTCTCCAGAGATTTCAGAACCTCGGGATGTCCAAATATTCCTGTGAGATATGGGTGTCTGAGGATGAGAGGAGAGGAGAGGGAATGGGAAGCTATCCTACAATTACAAGTGGGTTTTGGGAGTCGTGCTATGTATTTTTTTCATATTTTAAATTTCTCTAAGCAACTACTGTGGAATCAAGCTCCTTTATTTTCTTCCATCTCCAAATTTTACCCTCATTTTCATCTTATAGAGTCTTATTTGTTCCCCAAAGCAACATCACCAACAGACAGGAGTGACAAGAACACATATTGCCATCTCTAGGGAGAAAATGGAATGCATGACCGTGTCTGACTAGTGAACACTCAAAAGTGATCAGAGACATTTTTACCTCTTCTACTCTTCCCAACGTCACCTAACAATTTAACTCCTATTATTACTGCTAATCTCTATAGCCAATACTAGGTGTGTGCATGCTAAGTCGCTCCAGTCATGTCCAACTCTTTGAGACCCCATGGATTCTAGCCCACCAGGCTCCTCTGTCCATGGGATTCTCCAGACAAGAATACTGGAGTGGGTTCCCATTTCCTCCTCCAGGGAATCTTCCCCACCCAGGGATCGAGCCTGCATCTTATTATGTCTCCCACATTGGCAGGCTGGTTCTTTACCACTAGCACAACCTGGGAAGCCCGTCGGGAAGAAGTGCCCGACACTAGGTACTTCTTACCATGTATTCTTGATGACAAGCAAGTATAAATTCTAATCTATCATGTTTTATGTCTTAATTGTTAACATCAGATAACTTGGCAGCTAAAAAGGCTTTAGAAACTTCAGAAGCTCTTGGGTTGAGGTGAACTTTCTTCCCCAGGTAGTGCTTCCTGGATTTGAAGTTGAAGTTTGAGGCCTGACTGCAGCCTCCCAGCCACTTTCCGAGAAGAATCATTGCTTGGGGGACGCTCACAGTTACTTGGTAGAAAGAGCGCTGAGCCTGCCCTGGAGCTCACAGGAGACAGTGGGAAGTGTGAAATTATGGATGTTGGTGCAAGAAATGTTTCATCAAGGAGGATGGGACCAGGTTTATATGTCTGAGTTTAAGAAGAAGAAGATTTGATGTCAGTTTGTGTGATTTAACAAAAGAGGCAAATGGGTCAAAGGCTGGTATAATCAATGTATGCTAGGAGTTTGAGTTCAGAGAATAAAATCATCAGGCAGATTGCTCCAAAAGGACTTCATGAATTAAAAATGAGACTTGAGCTGATTTTCGAAGGATGTATCTGGGGAAAAGTCTGGGAAATATATATATGTCTGCGGGGGTGGCACAGAGTAGCCAGCTGTTCACCAACCCCGTGTCCTCTTCTTTCTGGACATGCTACTGGATTATATCAGATGCTGTTATGTGACTCAGTTCTGCTCTGTGCTCCTCCATGCCTGACCTGTAATAACCTCCACTCATGAATCTCCCTGTTCTCTCTTCCTCTGGAGTCATCCTGGAAACCACATGTAAAGGGTTGTAGGGCCACAAGATGGAAAGATCCCAGATCCCGGAATTATCACCTGGAGGATAATCACCTGCCAGGTAGGAATACATGTTTTGGATTTTAACTGAGCAAGGAATAAAGTTCTCTTGTATTAAGCCACTGACATTTTGTTTTATCTATGACAGCAAACAGTGTTATCTAGAAGTGAAAGACACATTTGTAGGGCAAGAAACAGATGCAAAAGTCCAGCAAGAAGGTCTGGAAATGGCAGAAATGGCAAAGGGTGAAAAAATGAGTGGTGGCCAGTTTATGGAGGACTTTATTTCCAAGAGGAAATGCTTGCATTTTCATAACATTATTCTTCAAGTTTGTATTTTCACATTAAAAAAAAAAACTTTACCTTATTTAATTTTTTCTTACAATAGCCTAAAAGTGAACGTCTTAGTCACTCAGTTGTGTCTAGGTGTAGCCCACCAGGCTCCTCTGTCCATGGACTTCTCCAGGCAAGAATAACTGGAGTGGGTAGCCATCCCCTTCTCCAGGGGATCTTCCCAACCAAAGGATCGAGCCTGGGTCTCCTGAATTGTAGGCAGATTCTTTACCATCTGAGCCACCAGGGAAGCCCAGAGTAGCCCTCTGAAGCCTATATTAATATCACATTTTATAGATGATGAAATTTAGGCTTAAAGCAATTAAAGTTACAAAAGCTATTCAAGCATAGAACCAAGATCGGAAGCGTGGTGATTGATTCCAAGGCTGCACTCTTTCTGTGACAGGCCTGATTCACACGGCCAATCAAACTTCAGAAACTGCCGAAAGCAGTTGATGTGCTCAAGACAGCATCTAAGGATTTTTGTTTCCAAAGCAGCTGTTAGGATGAATTAACAGAGGAGTGATTCCAATTAGTGAACTTCTGAGTTCAGCCAGGGGCAAAGAAATATGAAGCTGGAATGAAGATGATGACAGATGAGAAGGAAGGGAAGGTCAGGGTGAAGCTTTAGAGGGAAAAATTCATTTGCAGGACCTGGTGCCTGGGTGTGAGAGACAGGCAGGATTCGACACCCTCCTCTTGATATTCAAGTGTATCTTGGCACGTGTGTCAAATGGAGGGAAGGCCCTGGAGGAGTGAATTTGCATAGGGACGTTAATGTTTTTGGGGAGGAGGACACCTGTGCTCCTTTGGGTGGTGGAGGAGGGGCATTTATTCCATTCCCAGGCTGTGGTCTATATCCCAGGTGGAGGGAGAGGCAGAAGGTAGAAGCAGTGACGATGTTTTCATGAAAGATTTTGTGAAATGTGGGGCACAAGTCAGGCAGTTTCTTTCTTTTTTTTTCTCCCAATAAGGCATTTTATTCAAGACAGGCTAAGGATTAACAAGGATTAACACTGGTACTGCTTTGCTAAAATTCTTGAGTTCTTGATTTGAGTCCACTTCTTTTTTTTCTTCATGAGTCTGGCTAAAGGGTTATCAATATTGTTTATCTTTTCAAAGAACCAGTTTTTAGTTCTGTTGATTTTTGCTATAAATGCATATTTTTGGTCTCTATTTCATTTATTACTGCTCTTATCTTTATGATTTCTTTCCTTCTTACTTCAGCTTTTGTTTGCTCTTCTTTCTCCAGTTGCTTGAGGTGTAAAGTCAGGCTGCTTCAAGGCCCAAGAAACAAAGTGGGACAGGGAGCTGGCATGAGTGGACCTCTGGCATTTTTGTTGTAGAACCAGCATGGTTCAGACCTGAGAGGGCTGGGTGGGAGGGTGGGGGAGCCGGTGGTGGAATGTGCATCTTTTAGCAGCTGGTGTGTTTTGCAGATTTGGGAGCCTGCGGATAGTCCTGGGACAAGAACACCATCCTCTCAGAAAGTGCCAGTAGTGGGGCAGAATCTGTGCTCATGTGGAGGGAACAGGTACAGACTTCCCATCTCCAAGAGAGAGGAGCCCAGGGCATCTCAGGAGCACCTGGTTGGGGTGAGGGGCTGTCCCTGCAGGTGCGGACAATGGGCAAGTGAACTCTGAGTGATTGCTATTGATGTGGTTCTTACCAAAGGTTGGTGAGCCCTGGGGACATGTTGGGTCTCACTGGGACCCACACTGAGAATAGTAATGTATAATTTAACAAGGAGACACCTTACGTGCAGGAGATAGGATCATTTAAAGATTGAGACCAGAACAACAAAAATGAGCTTATTCATACAAATGTAACTTAATCCTTACCTTTTTTAAGCTTCTTATTGTGCCTTGTTACTTGATGGGACTTGGTTTGGCAGCGTCCTGGGTGTTTAAGAGGTTATATTTTCAGAAAATAAGGACTTTTTTTTTTCCTACTTGAATGTTTCAAAATGCTTTCACGGTATGCGAAGAAAGCCACTTGATTAAAGCGTTTGCAGTTTACATTAAATCCTTTTCTTCTTTGCAAAGAATTCAAGGTCCTGGCACAAACTAAAAGGGTTAAACTACACCTGGCCCTTTCATTGTGTTGTTTCACAAGCAGCGAATATTCTGAGTAAAGTCCAAAATGTGAGTCTTCATGCGGGTATTTGGTAATTTCTGCTCTCCACACTTCTCTGCACCGTGTCCCACCCCATGCATCTCACGATGCAAACATGTGATTTATTAAGCACTGCGTGGTGATGAAGCAAATTAGTGCTTTTGTCACACCTCCATTAGTAGAAGAGGGAGAAAGCCTGTAGAGACTAAACTTTGGCTCATTCATCTGTTCTTGGTTACCTCCCCCGTTCCTGCAAAACCCAGGGACCAGAAGCTGCCTGTAAAGCTCCTGCGCTCTTCTGCTCCTGGGCGGGGGTGTTTGAGATGCAAATAGAAGGGGCTGGTTCTTTAAACACACAAAAGCCATATATACATCGAGTGAAGATGAGCCCATCCTAAGCCACACGCTATTATTTTTCTTGCTTTGAGTGTCATTACCGCAGGCTTCTGCCTCGCTCGCATTTGTCATCCTCAAATAAACAGCTCCCACGGGAGACGGAAGCGGTGCGGCACCCTCCCCCCACTCCCCCACGCCCTAGCAGCTCGGCTTATTTTGACAGATTGCTCCATTAAAGCAAGTCTGTTTACTTAAAAACAGACAGCCAGGCTTCCTTCCATAAACGCCAGCGAGAGAGGGACAGAGCTGTCCCTTGTTCTCAGCCCGGCTACTCTGCGCATTGTTTCAGGCTCTCTGCATTTCGGACCGGAGGCTGGAGGCTGGGTGACCAACGCGGCCGCCTTTCGCAGGAGTCCTTCCTGGCCGCTGCCCTGCGGGGGGGTTGCCTCATCCTGGCTCCACAGCAGGGACCAATGTTATTTTTTGGCAGGGATGCAAAGCAAACGGAGATGCGGAAGGAAAAGTTTGGCAGAGCATGTTACACAGGTCCAGTTCAACAACCGCCTAATCAGAATTTATGTTTTGCTCATTCGTTTTATCTTTCACAATATGCTTTAAGGTAGCGTTAGCCCAAGTCATTCACTCATTCATCAAGTAATTCACTCATTCATCAAGTAATTCTGGAGTGCCGACCTGGTGTGCCAGGCACCAGACTCGACAGTGAGGAAACGGCACGGGAAGAAGCAAGATAAAAATCTTCACTCTTTAAAAATACATTTAAAAAAATTTATTTTTATTTTTGTCTGTGCTTGGTCTTCCTTGCTACCTGAGGGCTTTCTCTGGTTGCAGGGAGCCAGGCTCTCTGTTGTGGCGCAGGGGCTTCTCACTGCGGATGGTTTCGTTGACAGCAAGCAGGCTCTAGGCCAGGCAGGCTTCAGTAGCTGTGGCTCACCAGCTTAGTTGCTCTGAAGCCTGTGGAATGTTTCCTAACCAGGGATCAAACCTGTGTCCCCTGCATGGGCAGGCAGATTCTAAACCACTGGACCACTAGGGAAATCCAAAAATCGTGGCTGTTTTGGAAGCAATATTCTGTTGGAAGAGGCAGAAAAAAAAAAAAGCATATTTGGCACAATGTGGTTAAACATAAAATTACAGGTTTCCACATATTTCATAAGTCGAGTTTGAAATAACTAACAATAGCATATGATTTTACAGTTTATAATTTTTTTTTGCATGTCAGGTTAAATCATAGGCAATTTCATAAGTTTAAACTTCCACGTCATCTCATCTGATTTTGATAACTCTGTGGTATTATTCTTAATCTTATTTACAAATGATGAAAGCGTGGATTATGTAAGCCAGAGACCATAGACTCACCTCAAACTCGGGTCTCAGGCAGAACAGCAAGGAGAGCAAAACCAAAACCATGGATCCAGTGAGTTGCCATTATTTAAAATAACACTGGAAAAACAAAAACTCAAGGTTGATGGTTGTTCTGGCAGCACTCGTGTGGAGAGGGATTCAAGGGGTTTCATAAATGTCGCTGTTGTCACTTTTCCCCAGTCCTTTCAAACTTTGCCTCTTAAAGTGACACATGCTCAAGGAAAGCCTGGGACTGGAATGTGGTACAGCATACACGTCCTGGCTGACAGTGAGATGTGGTCAAAAGACCACAATGTTTAAAAGCCCCATACCAGACTGAGTTAAATCTGTGACTAAAGCCAGAGACTACGGTTAATGAGAGAGAACTTGGGGTAATCTGGGTGCTGCCAACTCTAGAAATGAGAAGCCAAAAGTTCCCTTCTTATTCCAGGCAAAGTTCTGCACTTCGGAGAAACTGCTGGGAGTAGAATCCAAACTATGAATAGAAATAATGATGAAAAAGGAATGAGAAGTTCTGATGAAAACGGGAGAGGGGAAACAGAGAAAGTATGTCTCAGAAAGCTCAAGGTTGTATATTGATGTTTATCTCTTCAAAAATAACGCCAGAGGGAATCCTACCGCTATGAAATTAGAAAAGCTATCCATTCAACCCTCCTTACTAAAACCTCTGAAAAATGAGCAGCAGAAAAAGATTGGGAGTGAATCAATACAGAGTTATTAAAAGCAGGGAAATAAATAGAATAACGTCCCTACTCAATGAAAGATAATATAGAAAAATATTCCCACAAAGCAGATGATAATTGTAAACTAATATTTCAAAAAAAAAAAAGCTAAAAGAAATGGGTAGAAATTATGAGAGAACAACAGGAATCAGAATTAGGGAAACTCAGGAGACATTGGAGAAAGTGACATTTAAATGTGAAACAACAGGATTCACAAAAGAAGTAAAGATAAAAGAAAAAATTTCAGAGCTAGAGAAACTAGGAGGAAAACAAACAAAAAAAATAACCACCATGGATATTGCTTAGAGAAACAGGAGAGGGGAAAGGGAAAAATTTTTTAAATCAAGCAGAAATGAAGAAAAGGAATTTGAGACTGATAGGATTAGCAAAGAAGATCCAATATACAGGTGGTAGGTATCCTCAAAGAAGAAAATCAAAGAAGTAGAGTACAGCAAATGCTGAAGTTTATAATTCAAGAAAGCTTTCCTGAAACCAAAGATGATTTCAAGCCTCAGATTAAAAGCAAAAATTAGGGAAACTGACCTCTAAAAAGTCAACCTTGATACATAGTCTAGTAGGCATATGGGACTTGAAGGAAAGGAAAAAATCTTCAAGGTATCCAAGACTAAAAGACAATTCATGTGTTAGGGAAAGGAAATAAATTTTCATCAGGTGGTTTGAAAGCAATGTGTTGTGCCAGAAAAACAATGAACTAACAATTAGAATACTGAAGGAAGGAAAATGTAAGCTAAGGAGTTTATATCCAGCCAAACAAAATACAGAGTTCAGACCTGCTGTCACGACCAGGTCAAAAATGAGGAAGCAATGGTTCTGAGTTCTTCTTGAGGAATCTACTAGAGAATGTGTTTTAGACAACCACAGTGACTAAAGAGGCATTGACACGGGGGTATTGGTTGTTACTGGATGGATGATATGGTCCACTAAAATGAGGAAATACAAAAAGAAGAATGGATGGGATCCAGGAAGCAGGATCTAATACCAAAATGTGGAACAGAACAATCTGACAAATTCTCTGTGGAACTGTCTTCAGAATTCGGAAGGGACATTTTATAGAGGTCCTGGGGTATGCTTAGTCAGATGGTCAAAGTAAAGTAAGTAAAGTAAAAAAAAGGACAGTTATTAATTCTGGAATAAATAGAAGGTTGTTCAGTTCAGTTACTCAGTTGTGTCCAACTCTGCGACCCCATGGACCGCTGCACACCAGGCTTCCCTGTCCCTTGTCAAATTCTGGAGTTTACTCAAATGCTCAGAGGGTTCAAACAAACCTTGTGTGCACCAGGACCCAGAGACCCACAGAGACTAAGAATTATGTTTGAGTGTCTCCCGTGGAGATATGGGTCAGCTGTGGACTGCCACAGGGGCAAGGGCTCTGGGTGCAGCAGATGTGGATATGACATAAGCCCTCTTGGAGGAGGTCGCCATTAACCCCGCATAGAGCTGCCAGAACTTACAGAGGACTGAGGAACAGACTCTTGGAGGGCACAAACAACCTTGTGTGCACCAGGACTCAGGAGAAAGGAGCAGTGACCCCACAAGAGACTGATCCAGACTTGCCCGTAAGAGTCCAGGAGTCTCCAGCAGAGGCGTGGGTTGGCGGTGGCCTGCTGCAGGGCTGGGGGCACTGAGTGTAGCAGTGCCTGCATGGGACCTTTTGAAGGAGGTCGCCATTATCTTCATTACCTCCACCATAGTTTGGCCCCAGGCAAATAACAGGGAGGGAACACAGCTCCACCCATCAACAGAAAATTGGATTAAAGATTTACTGAACAGACCCGCCCATCAGAACAAGACCCAATTTCCCAGTCAGTCTCTCCCATCAGGAAGCTTCCATAAGCCTCTCATCCTTCTCCATCAGAGGGCAGACAGACTGAAAACCACAGTCACGGGAAACTAACCAATCTGATCACATGGACCACAGCCTTGTCTAACTCAATGAAACTATGAGCCATGCTGTGTAAGGCCACCCAAGACGGACGGGTCGTGGTGGAGAGTTCTGACAAAATGTGGTCCAGTGGAGAAGGGAATGGCAAACCACTTCAGTATTCTTGCCTTGAGAATGCGATGAACGGTATGAAAAGGCAAAAAGGCAGGACACAGAAGGATGAACTCCGCAGGTCAGTAGGTGCCCAATAGGCTACTGGAGATCAGTGGAGAAATAACTCCAGAAAGAATGAAGAAGTTTGTACAAGAAACTAAGTGTAATCACAGTATATTACTTGACATAGTATGTTACCTAAATAATATTTATAGTCATAATAAAAACAGTGATTATGTTACCAACACTTCGAGTCTGGCCCTAACAAGGGGCCTCCTGCAAGGGGTCATTAGAGCCAATGGAATGAGACCAGGTTTGATTCAGAAGCAAAGGAAAGCTTTATTTTTTCCTAAGAGAACGGAGGTGGCTCAGCAGGTAGAGAATCGGCCTGCCAGTGCAGAGGAGGTAAGGGTTCCATCCCTGGGTTGGAAAAGATCCCCTGAAGGAAACGGCAACTGGCTCCAGTATTCTTGCCGGGAAAATTCCACGGACACAGAGGAAGCCTGGTGGGCTACCGTCCTTGGGGTTGCAAAGAGTCGGAGACACCGCGCGCGCACGCACAGAACAGGAAGAGAATGGAGAGGCCTGTGTTGGGGCTCTGGAGGGCATGCTCTCCCCATAGGCCCGAGGTGGGGCTGCTCAGCTGCCTTCTCCGCAGGCGCCGGGAATGGGGCGGAGCTCTCCTGGGTCTGGGGCAGGCGTCCGCTCAGGCTTTAGATCACAGCGCAGGCGCAGCATCTCTGCACACGACCTGCCGCCGCCATCTTGAACTGAGGGCTGTGGCTGGTCCTCGGCAGGCATTTGGCTGTGTCAGTTGCCTCCTGCGGACTTGGGAACTCTGGTTTGAAAGGCCTGGATGTGAGGCCTCTGTGTGGCCCTCTATGAACAGGTGAAACGAATCGCAAAGGAAAAGAAAAAGGTTAGCCTGTGTTTTATTACCCGGATTCTACTTTAATTTCCCAGGAATTGCTAATGGTCTTTCTTTGCTGATGACAAATGTAGATATGATTCAAAAAATAAGATTATTTTTTGAGAATAATGAAGGGAAGAGATGGTGTGATTGAATTAGTATATAATCTGCCAGAGTAAAAAGCCAATAGTATAGCAGTGCTCAGTCATGTCCGATTCTTTGAGACCCCATGGACTGTAGCCAGGCTCCTCTGTCCATGGGATTTTCCAGGCAAGAACACTGGAGTGGATTGCCAGTTCCTTCTCCAGGGGATCTCCCCAACCCAGGGATCGAACCAGAGTAACCTGCGTTGGCAGGTGGATTCTTTACTACTAGAGCCACCTGGGAACCCCGGCTGGATCAAGTAATAGGATTATATCATATATTATGTGGCAATATGGAGGCAAGTTGGAGAAGAAATGAATTCCAAGACATTGCTTCTGAGGTAAAGGATGAGGAGGATGAGAGGAAGAGAGACTTGTTTTGGTTATAAGTCTTTTAGTCCTGTTTACGTTTTAACTATTTGCATGCAATTTTTAACAGAGTAAAGAACAAAACAAAACAAAAAAACCTCCACAGCCACCAAGGAACCCCAACTTTCAGAGCAAACTGAAGCCTTGTTGGGCTTCACCCAGCAGAGGGACCAGCCACCTCACCATGGGCTCTGTCCGCCCTCCGACTCCCCACTCCTTGCCTATAGAATAGGGATCCTTCCAGTTTTCTCAAACCCAGAACCAGGTGCACTGATCATAGGATGTGAAGGTTGAAAATGCCGATTAGAGATCACTCTTTGCATTTTTTCCCTGATTTACCGCGGAGGGAATCAAGGGAATCAAGGCTGTCGGTGAGAGAGTGGCTGGCCCAAAGGCACTGCTCCCTTTTCCTGTCTGAACTGGAGTTTGGGTCTCCCTACCAGGTGCCACTGCTACAGTGTTCCCTCCTTCGAGTTAATTCTGCCCTGTGTGAACATCCTCTCCTTGCTGCTGATTTTATCAGCGCCTTGCTTTTCCAGTTGCTCTCTTACCTCTGTTCTGTTTTGAGCTCAATTAGGTTTACTTTCAGGGGTGTTTGGGCTGTTGTGGGGGTGGGAGGAGTCCTGAGGAATTTACCCTGCCCTCTGCTGCCCTCTGCTGGCTACAGATGGTGTTTACTGTTCGCCCTTTAGATCTAAGTTCCACCAGCCTCATAATGAAATAGTTATTTTTAGCACTTTGGGCTAGCTCAGTGAAGAAAATCTTTTCTTTCAGGGAAATAATGTGCCCTCTGACCTGTGCCAATCTGTGTTGCCCAGTCCAGTTGTTACAAGCTGCCTTACTTCTTTAACTGTGATCTTTGAACTAATAGTGTACACATTACCTAGGAGATTGTTAGAAATGCAGAATCTTGGACCTCACTGAATATTTACTGAAGAAGAATCTGCAGTTTAATCTGAAGTGATTCATGTGCACATGAACCCTGGAGAAGCACTGCTCTAGATCAAACTCACCTAGTCTTCAGGAAAGAATTGAGATCAATCTTGTGTTGGTGCAATGCCTACTAAGTTGCTTCATGTTCATGAGTCATGTTCAACCTCAGTTTGCTTCATGAGTCATGTTTGACTCTTTGTGATCCCATGGACTCTAGCCCACCAGGCTCCTCTGTCCATGGAATTCTCCAGGCAAGAATACTGGAGTGTATTCCTTCTCCAGGGGATCTTCCCGATCTAGGGATCGAACCCACATTTCCTGTATCTCCTGTATTGGCAAGTGGATTCTTTACCATTAGTGCCACCGAGATAAATCTTACTACTTGGTAATTATCTCTGATCACTCTAATACCTGTTCCAGTCTTGTTGCCTGGTAATAATCAATTCTTGTCCAGATACATTTTTCTGCTCTGTTTGTGCCAGGACAACTGCCTACAATAACAGAGAGGAGAAGGTAGCATAATTTGAGTTTTAAGCTTTAAAATTCACTAAATTAAAATTAGTCCATTAAATCAAATGGTAGAAAGGCATAGCACATGGATTGTGCTACAGTATTTTCTCCTTTCACTGTTATTAATAAAAATGTCATATTTTGGCTTTGAAGATAGACTAAAATTATTCAACAAGTTTTTAAAAGCTCTATCTTGTTTATAATTTATAAAATCTCTGTGTATAGCTGAATGGGTACTTAGGAAACATTAATCTGGGGGAGTTTTCAGAATGCCAGAAACAGAACATGTTATTAACTGAAGTCTCTCCCATGTTCTCCTGCACAACTTCATTTGTTCACAGGCATTCAGCCAGCAGACATTTAGCTGACATTTAGCGAGCACTCACTATGAGTCTGACACTGTGTTGGTGCTGAGACTTTATGGCAGGTATGGTTCTTGCTTTCATGGATCTTCCAGTCTAAGTCAAGCTATTAAAGACATTGCTGCTGCTGCTGCTAAGTCACGTTAGTCGTGTCTGACTCTGTGTGACCCCATAGGCGGCAGCCCATCAGGTTCCCCTGTCCCTGGGATTCTCCAGGCAAGAACACTGGAGTGGGTTGCCATTTCCTTCTCCAATGCATGAAAGTGAAAAGTGAAAGTGAAGTTGCTCAGTTGAGTCTGACTCTTCACGACCCCATGGACCGCAGCCTATCAGGCTCCTCCGTCCATGGGATTTTCCAGGCAGGAGTACTGGAGTGGGGTGCCATTGCCTTCTCTGATTAAAGACTTTAGGATTTAATAAAGTTGTATCAAGTGCTAAAAGAGAAAGTTAGGGTGATGGAAGCTAGGTTGGTTGGTGTCCATGAAATGAATGACACTTAATGGATATTGGAGTTGGTGAAGAGTAGAGGTAAGAGCATTTTGGGCAGACAAGTTCCTGAGAGGAGCAGGAGCAGGGTGGGAGCACTAGGAAGGTGACCGTGGCTCCAGCACAAGGATGGAGGGAAAGTCTCCCAAGAGGGGACCTGTGAAGTATATGCAGGTCAAATCTGCAGGGTTTCATCGGACCTGGAACTTAGTTGGGGATTTATCATTAGAACAATGGGAGACACTGGGGAGTTAAACTCAGGGGAATCACATGATATGATCTTTTTGTTCTCCCCAGCGTGCTGTTGTTTATATAGGCTGAAGCTGACCTTGGATCTCTGGGCCATGGCACCATTTTGGGGAGGACACGTCTTTGGGTTGAGTGTAGGTGCTGCGTCCTTGGGATGGCTCATCACGCTCTTTCCTTCTCCGTATCTGAGTGTGTGATAACTCTCTCAGGGAGTAACCTGCTCTGACCCAGGTTCTAGGATAGACATACCCACTGCATCCAGTGAGATGGGCAGGAGACCCAGTCTTCTCCTCCACACTCTTCCTGTACCCTGTGTCTATCTGTTTCTGTCAACTTCCTGAAATAGGTCCTTGCTTTTTCTCTCCTAGCCAGCTCCCTGCTCCAAGGTGTCGTAGCCTCTCTGAAGTTTTTTTCCCCATGATATATTCTGACTCCATATGAAGTGACGCTTTTTCTTTGAAAATAAGCCTCCCGTGTTTCAAGGTTAAGGATGT